AAGTTTAACTATTAGATTTATAATAGAAGGTTTATAGTAATTATTAAAGATTTTAAGAACTAGTACCTTAAGCTTTTAATATATATATATATATAGACTATAAGAACTTAATGTATTTACTAAATTAAAACTTTTTAATAAATAATAAATCAAATAGTTAGAATTCTTTTTAAAGTTTAATTTCTAAATTATCTATTAAAAAAGATTAGAACATAGTAAAGCTAACACTTTTAGCTAATAACTAAACTATAACGTCTTAATACTAAAAAAGCCCTAAGTAATTCTTAAATATCATAATAATAGAGACTTAATATTAGTAATTAAACTTCTAATAAGAGCTAAACGATTTAATATCATCTTAACTAATAAACTGAATAATAAAGTAATTATAGAATTCTATAGTCTATTAGTATATAGTTACTAAGCATTTATAAAAACTTAGAGATAACTATAATAATAATTAGAAATTATGAGGTTTATTTAAAAAGTAAACTAATTTAATGCTAGCTTTATGGATTATTATAACTTTTATTTATATTATAAACTATTTAGTACTTTACATCTTTTAATTATATTATTAAGCTACTGAAATCTTAAGAACTCTTTATGGAAGTCTATTTTAATAATATTATTATTATTATGAATAGACTTATAAAATGTGTTTATTTTATCCTATATAAACAAATAAATAATACTTAAACATTCACTTATATATTTCTTAAATATATTATTACTAACTATAGAATACTAAAGGAAATTGTATTAAATAGAAATAAAATCTTTATGTTTAAGTTTTAGAAGTTAATTATATTATAACTTAGTATTAAATAAGTAATATCTACTACGTTTTATCTATAGACTAATAAATAAATAGAAATAATTAACTAAATCTTTAAAATATATCTCTATACTTATATTAATTATAACTAAAATAATTAAGTAATATTACTATTAATAGCTTAACTTACTTATAATAGTATAGTTAGAGAAAATACTAAGGAATTCTTTTTCTATTTTTATTATAGATTTAAACTAACTATTTATAGAGAACTTTAAACTAGCTTAATAGTATTAAAAGCTACTACTATACATAGATAAATTAAGGATATCTAAAATAATATATATTAAAAACTTAAATTTATGTAATAATAAATCACTAAATTTACTAATAAATAAAACGTTAAAAGATTAATTTTAAACAAGAGAAATTATATCTATTTTATATAGCAAAATATTAAAATAGAATAACTAAATAATAAATTAAACTTTAAGAAACTTAGACTTTTTAAAGTCCTTTAAAAAGTCTTACTAGTGAATTATAAACTTAATCTATTTAATACAATAAAATATTTTTTAACATTCTATATTTTGCTACTTAACTAGTATTATAAAGATTACAAATAAATAAGTTAATTATTATAGAAAATAATAAACTAAAATATAAAGATAAATATATTATTAGCTATTTAGAAGACCTAAAAAGATATTAGCATTTTATTAAATAGAAAACGTATAGTTATAAAGATAATATATAGAAACTAGCTAAAAATATCACTAATATAAAGAATAAACTTATAACTTATTAATAGTAATATTAAGAATAAGAAATAATATTAATAATATTACCCCTAATAAATACTACTAGTTATTTATATATTAAATATTTACATGGATATGTTAAACTACTAATAGAAATAGACTAACTTAAATTAAAGAAACTATTTATTCGTCTAAAAACCTCAGAATATAATTAAAACCTCTTCAATAGGAAATTTAAAATACTAGGATTTTAGTCTAGAATTACCTTTAAATCTGATATAATAAAACTACTTATAAATTAAACCTCTAATATAAGAGATATTACTAGCTCCTCTTCTATAACTACCCTCTTAACGTTTATAAAACATTATTCCTTTTATATAAACAATCTAACTATACTATAGACTTATCTAACTTAGCTTATATAATATATAAAATAGTAGCTTTTTTTTAATTACCTCTCTTTTAGCTATTTTAATATTTTCTAGATAACTAGCTTTATCTAATAAATAATTAACTAAAAATGAATTAATTCAGTATAAATATAATAACTATAGATAAACCTAGAAATATAGAGAGTATCTACTACTATATTATATAATCGCTCTAAATAAATATACTTACTATATGTTTTACTATTAAAAAGAAGTTTATAATACTTGTTTACTGAATAATAGTGAAAATAAAGTATTTTAATAATAAAACTAAACTTAGTAATATAAAGCATATAATTATAATAATAAAACGTAGAAGTAGATTTTAATTTTAATTTTTAAATATAACCTAATATAATATTAGCATCATAAGTAAATCTAAAAATACAATTAATAGATCTTTAACTTGGGACTAATAATTCATTTATATTAGGTCTTAAAAGTAAAACCTTTCGAGAGAGGATCTAATATTATAACCTAAAATTAAAGATAATAGCTAAATAACCTACTTAAATATTAAGTAGCTAAAATAAAGTATTTATACTATAGGATTATAAGAATAACAAGAACTTATTTAGAATAGAAAAACTATAGCATAAATTATATAATAATCAAATAAAGAACGATTAGTAGACTATATTAAGAAATACTTAATAATTAACTAGTCTTACTAACTAATTATAATCACTTTATATATTTAAGTAATTACTTATAGATAGATAAAAAGTACTATTTAGACTTATATATAGTATAACTTAAGCTTAGTTTATAGTTCAACCTCTATAGCTCTTTAGTAATTAACTTTATATTTATTTTTAGGATAATTTTAGCTTATTTCACTATAAATAACTTATTAAGTCTAAAATTAATCACTTTAGCCTCTAAAGACTAATCTATAACAAAGCCTACAACCTGTAACCTAAACTATAACCTCTATAACCTTAGTGTACTATTACTACATATCCATCCCTAGCTTCTATTAGCAGACCCTACTGTTAGATAGCTGACTGTAACATAAAGGCGATGCTGCTGGGGAACCTGTTTTTCTTTCATTGCGGGTCACTAAGTCCATGTTGATGGGTGTCACCCATGAATTACTTGGAGGTGTCCGAAGGATGGTGCCTTTGCAGCTGAGGCGTCCTTCGACCATCTTTCAAAGCCAGCTGCAAATTGATATATAACACGAAGTCTCGACCACCTGCTTAATACTTCTTGACAGGTCATCACTCATCCATCATTCCCAACATCTCACTCTATAACTTTCCTTAAAATTCATTAACTCGTGTCAACCTTCACTTCTCTCATCAAAATGCAGTTCTCTCACATTCTTTTGGCTGGTCTTGCTACCACCGTTTCCACCGTCATGGCTGCTCACGTATGTGATCCTCAGGGACATGCTTTTCTGAAATCTGCTAACACAGTTCAGTGCCGGATCGGAAGCGGTACCCGTGCCGACTGCTGCTGGGGTGGCGAGGATGGCTACATGTCCTGCTGGCGCCAAAACAAGGACTCGGTATGGACTACTTCTTACATTCCAACACAACATACTAACGGTCTTTCAAGTCCTTCTGCAAGTCCGACTCAGACAACTACTGCACCAACGTCAATGGCCCTAGCGGAGCCAAGATGTCTACAACTTGTGTAAGTTCGACTCCGGTAAAGTTGTGGGACGCTCTAACGCAAATAGGGTGCTGATTGCTGCAACACCCTCAATGGCTGGGGAACTGGCTGTCCCAAATAGATGGTTGATGACAATTGTTTCTGGAGGTGTTGGGGTCTGAAAGCGTATCACGAAGAAAGTTCTATTCACATTTAGAAGCATGCAATGGACTGTTACATCTTGTCTTCGATCTGAGTTTGCATGGGTTCAAATGAAGGGCCCTCATATGACGACTACTCTGTGATGTCTTTTGTGATATGATTGTCCGCGCAATTATGCTGCTAGAGCCGATTTTCTGATTATAATTATTGATTCTATGTGCGCACAATGACAGCCGAAATCAATGTGGCGGCAAGAACTATGTTCTAAGCTTAACTTGACTGTAAATGATATTCACCAGTCCGTGTTAGAGTTATCAAAGTCTCATTAGATACTCCATTAAAAGCTAAAAGCTCCCAGAAAATAGACTTTTGGGGCCCGCCTTACGAACCGCCCCCAGACCGACGTGGGTGACAGGGATCCTCCCTCCTCGCAACAACAATTGAGGTCCCTCGAAACCGAGCGCGAGCCTTGCTATGTTCGTAACGTGAGAAACGGGGCGAGAGTCTTGGCGATAAGCAGCGCAAACTGTGTCACTTGTAAAGCAATGGCATGCACCAGGCCGAAAAAGGCAAGCTAGACAGGTACGGGGTACCATGCCGATCGCGCTGATATTCTCGGCCAGTGCAATATTTCCCGGGAACCTTTGTACCAGAGTTTGAGAAGATCGACGCGTCCCATGTGTCAAGATCGGATTGTGGTCCGCGACGGTAAAGTTGAGACAGATGATGATCATCAACCAGGTGCTCGGTATTGCTCCACTCCAAGCGCGCATAGCTCGAGTCATATATCCTCGTGTACGAGATACTTACCGGGCCTGCAGCGGAGCGTCTGATATTTGGGCAGACGGAAAGCACGACACACCGGCAGACCAACAAATTCCTTGGCAGTTGTGGATATTCTGTGATTGATTAAGCTGCTTCGTGTGCTCATCGTGAGGCGTCACAAGATGCACCGCCTTCTCAGAACTGAGTTTAGCTTGCTCATGGTGTCTGAACTACTTTCGATTGATTACTTCAGACTTGAGTCGGATGGAGTCTGGAACTATGGAGGAGATTGCATCTGACTCAAACGGCCGATGCTTCCGATTGCAAGCAGGAAGTATCAATGTGGGTTTTAAGACTGAAAGTTGTATAAGACATCCCGATACCCCTGCGTGGTATTACCGCTCCTCACTCATCATCCTCTCGATCTTTCAAAGCATTCTTTACTTCTTCGCTTGCTAAAGAAAACGTTCACTAAATAAATCCAACAAAACTTCGTCCAAAATGCAGTTCTCTGTCGCTCTCACCGCAATCCTCTCGGCATTCGCCGTTCCTGCCATTCTTGCTTCTGAGGTAGGTCATTGCTACTTACAGTATCACGCTGAGGTACCTAATATGTTTGGTAGTGTAAGGTTGGATTCAACAACCCCCGAACAGACTGCTGCTGGGGAAAGGGTCAAAAGTCCTGCATGAACCAGAACGGCGACGCAGTTTGGTGCGCAAGTAACTCTGCCAACTTCTGCTACAACGTCAAGCGTCAGGGTACTGATGTTCCCGTCTCTGACACATGCGTAAGTCTTTAAAGCTATATGCAATCAAGTCACCGGAACTAAACTGGCCCTTAGGACGCTGATTGCTGCGATACAAAGACCGGCTGGGGTATTGGATGCCCCAAATAAGCCAAGGCTTCTGAAATTATGTAGAATAGACGTGGTATAAACGTTCAATATGCATGCAGACTGGTGATGGTGTTCTTTCAGAAGTTCAAAATGCCATTTAGTCTCACTGGCGGTATCTCAAATTTCTATTCATATGTGTTCAAACATCTGCCAATTCGAAAAAGCTTTCTGTGTGACGGACATTAATATAATTACAATACATTTCAAAAACCACTTACTGGACGAAGCACCGGCCGAAGGGCTCTTACTGGATTTATCTACTGTGGACCCTCTTATAGGGTGGGCTATGAAACTTCCTCAACACATTTCAAAAACCACTAACAGCTCGCCATCACCATCTGGAAATCAAATCAAAGTTGATCATGTATTCTGATTGGTGGATACAGGAATTAATTGGTTACATCTGCGGTTCCGTACGTCTTCATGGTGCGTAAAGAATTGAATCCACCGCGGGATGTCCGTCCAGGTCCTACCCCACTAATTGATTCTTTTCCATCCGTCACATCAAACGTAAAATCACGGCTCCAATACACCCTTGTGAATTATGTTGCCAGGATCCTTGGCAGGAACGTACTTTGGCTCTTGGTTGTGTCGAAAATGGACACTACCGTAGCGCATGAGCTCTGCAAATGTTCCTGCCTCACGATCCTTATCCTTGTTCTCCTTCATGTCCCACAAGGCGCCGAGTGCCTTTGTAGATGTCATACCCCCTGCCCGTGTGACCTTCTGCATTGTGGAAGAGGTCATCAAATACCAAACCGTCTTGTGAGCCTTCTTGTAATCCTCGGACTCGGGGTCAGCATCAAGCTTCGTATTCAAGAGGTCGAATAGCTCTTCGCCATTCCATCCAATCAAGGCCTCAGCAGGCCAAGTCTCCCACAGCCCGTCGAAGAGAAGCACTTTGGTACCGTAATACTTGGCGCCATCGAAGCCGCCGTTTGGCTCCTGCACGACGCTGATTCGCATCCAGCACATAATCTGTGCGACATACTCCAGTACCTGTGGTATCGGGATTTCCCAATTCCAAGCGAACCCTCTAGCGTCAAACTCCACCATGTCAATGTCTTTAGCATGGGCCATCAGAGGGTGCGTGTATAGACCCTCAGCACTGGTTCGATCCTTCCACAGAGTCATGAAGAGATCATGCCTATTGGTGTAAGCTGCAGGTTCATGACACAAGGGGGAAAGGTCACGAACTTACCAATGCTTAATGAAGGGATCGCCCTTCCGACTAGCGATGAAGTGGTTTGCCACACCCCTTGAATACATCCACGGTGCTGAGACTTGATATGGTGTGTTTGGGTCCTCCAACTTGTTCCAGCAGAGGTCATCGATCGAGCGGAACAGAATTGAGCCGACATCCATCCAAACACCGCCGTACTGATAGAGGCATATTCCTCGGAGGAAGTCCGCGCTATGAGGGCCAGTGTATCCCAGAGGTCCATCCATTGTGTTGGTTGTGAAGGCTTTAGGAAGGTCTTCTTCTTTAACCCAGTTCAGAGCATTGCTCGGGGAATCGCTGACGACATCCAGGACACGGATAGTCCACGAGAGACCGCAGATGCGAGACCAGTTAATGACATTTCGCTGGCACCAGGCGGGCATCTGCTGCAGCCCAGCATGCCAAAATGCCCAGATGTTCTTTTCTGATGTCACTGGAGGGGGGCTTTCGAGGGCTTTGAGGATTTCGTCGTCTGACCTGGAATCAAGAGGTTCAACATAGCGAACCTTGTCCTGGAACTCGGCAGGGATTTCGAAGCGGGGAGGCGTCATGTTGATGAATAGCAGCCTCAATAGTGCAGTTTTGTTCGATTTGGTAGCACAGCAATCTCAACACAAATTTGAGGCGATGATTCTAAGGTTATTTGTACCCACGGATCGACCCTGGAGCGAGTGTCGAAATCATATTGATGACCATCAACTTGGCGAAAAAGAACACTACTATCTAGCGCTTATGCCCACCCGTTAGCTTGTGCCACAAGATTGCTGCAAGAAGGCAGGATTACCCAAGAGTATGCATCCGCGACAGTCAGAAGTTCCTTACCGGTGGAGTAAAAGCGTCGAGCGCTCCAGAGTCTTACGGCCTTAGTCGAATGGGCTTATGGGATGACGTGATAATTCTTAGCCAAGCCAGACCATGAGGTTACACTGCATTGATTGCAGGAGCTTCACCCCCACTACAAGTCAGGGAGGATTCGCCGTGTTCACTTAAACCAGAACTGATGCCACCTGCATATGCCACCGAGTTTGGAACTTCTGTCCCTATCAATCAGTGTGGTTTATCGGATCATTCGGGCGCAGACCTTCCAATCTTTGTGTTTACATGTTGATGTTCTCTCCATCTAAGCAGCACCGGGCTCAGTCATCTATCTAACATTGGGCCTTTTGTATCGGTTGCTAGATATGTCAGGAATTTAATATTGAAATTGAATCGCAACCATGAAGTTGAGTAGCTATCATCATGCCGCTCCCCACCCTTGTTCGAGCACATCCTTGGTCTTCAATACCTTGATCTCCGGGAATTCATCGTTAAGGGTGCGGCTAGGTCTGAGATCAGCCTGTCCTCGCTCGCAGTTGAGCCCAAATGGGGCAAGAAAACTGTGCAGCATCTCTTTCGGATAAATCTGATAGAATTAACGATGAGATGGCAGTTCCGTCAGCTTGCACATCTGAAGGTCCTCAATTGAATCATGCGCCACCGTAAACTTGGTACCTAAACGAGCAGTCAGAAATTGGCCGAGGAGGGGGCCCTCAGAGTACTTACCTTTAACTTTCTCGGCCAAACGCACCATCTCGTGGAAGGTGACTTTGTCACCAATGATAAACGTCTCCTCGGGCCACTTGTCCTTTTCGAGCAATGCAGCAACAAGACGCGCAACGTCAAAGCTGTGCGTGAAGACAACGGGAACCTCCCCAGATCCGGGGATTGCAGCCACATTGTTCGCAACGTCCACGAAAAAGGATACATCGTCCATGTAACTCTTCACCTTCGGGGTCCCGAAGTAGTCGAGGAAGTATCCATTGAAGACAGTCGTCCACTCGAGCGATGTTGACTTTAGCGCTCCCAGCGCAGACTTCTTGGCCATTGCTGGAGGGAATGTCTCATATTGCCTGGACAGAAAGCTCAGGCGTCAGACCCAATCAAGTCTTCGGGGGCACACACGAAGAGAAGGCTTACTCGGGCAAATACGGCACCCCAAAATAACTCGGAATGAAGCGTTTAGTGGTACTGGACCTCTCAGCTGCTCTAATGAGATTGAGCTCGGCGTCGTTCTCTCCCGTGATGTTGTTGACGGCAGACATAATAATTTCAACGTTGTTTTCTTGGAGAACGTCCACAAGAGAATTGACGTTGGCGTAATCGACGGCCACAAATCGAATGCCTCTCGGACCAGCCGGGCTTCCTGAGACCTATCTCCATGTTATCATGTATTGCGAAGAGAGAAAGCCGGGACGACTACCTTTCTTGTTAGGACGATGACTTGGTACCTGCCTCGAGCCTGTATGGCTTCAACAAGGGCCCGCCCGAGACCTCCAGTTCCACCTGCGATAGCAACAGACATATTGAGGTATTGTGAGAGATGATGGAAGAGTGAGTTGTGAAGCACAAAGCTGAAGCCATGTAACAAAGTATGGGTTTATATAGAGCGTCGCAGGGAATGTAACGCATGCTATCTTACTAGGTTCAGGCGAAGACATTTTCTGCAGTCCCCAATGTGTCGATTATCTCCAAAGTCCGGTCTAAAGAACGGTCCGCTTAGAGGCGGTCGCCGCGAGGCTGTTCTTGCCGAGTTCGGATAACTAACATTAGGTTTCGGAGCGTTCGGGGACCGAGACCCGGACCGGCTCCGTTTCGGTCGGTCCTCCGTCCGGGAATGTTTCATGGATCCACCATCACAGCAGTAGCATAACCCGAGTTCCCACCATAACTACTTACTATTGGCACCAGCTGGCATTTTGATCATGTCTAGGCCTTGGAGATAACAAATATTTAGGATGCATTCAAGAGCTTGAGGCGGTGGTCTTGTGCACACACGCCCATCTTTTTCAAAGGAATGAGGTTAAACGCGTTACTTCTTTTATGCTCAGAAGGTACATAATCAGAATAAGCCCATCATATGTTGGCCCCCAAACATTGCCTGTATTCGTTCACCAGAAATGTCCGCAGTTCCGTATTCATCCTCCACCGCAGGGAACATATTTCCTGCAAAGTACTGGAGGAGCCCATTGGAGAAGACCGAATGTTCTGGTGTGAAGGAACCCCTGTTTACAGCCTCGAGTTGGCTGATTGCAGACCAGTGAAGCTCTTTACTGCGCTCGCAAAATTCTTTGGCAGAAGCCGACAAATTGGCTGTAACCTCTCGCCCTTCGGCAAATTCCTGAAGTCGTTGTAAATCATCGGAGTCGCCTTGGCTGACCACATTACAATACAGCACAAGGACAGGCACGAAAGGTACGTGTAGGACCCTCCTGTTAGTAAAATGAGTGTGGCCCATGAATGTTCGATGTAGAGTGCCACTCACCAGTGTATGTAAATATTCATGATGTGCGTGGATTGCAGCCCTGGCATACTCCAAACACTGCGGCGAAAGAGTTGGAGGCGTGGTTCGCATTACCTTCGCCCGAGATATCAGGGTTGCTGTAGTATAGTTAATACAGAACCTTTTGAGACACTGCAAGAACGTTTTCCAGCCTCTCTAGCTTTCCCGTATTGTTTCCCTGTATTGTGCAATTAGCCAAGATTCGTTATTTTTGGGATGTGCGCCACAAAAATGCAATCTTCCCATACCTTGTCATAAGGCTCAACTTCTTTGAGTTCTACGAGAAGGCGATCTGCAGCTACCACGATGTCTTCGTCGCAGCAAGTCGCAGCTGCTCGACTGTACAGGGCTTCATACAGCTTGTCGTGCATAGTCGCATTCCAGACCCAGAACGGAAGCATTGATTTCCATGGCCGTGACAATGAGAGACAGCTCATGTCTTTAGGCAGGGTGATGTCGCATACTCGTATAATTGACGCTCGTCCCAATCTCAATGCCAGACCCTTCTCCACGGCGTATACATACCAAAACAAGAGCATCTTGGCTTTCTTGATTTTTACGTCGTCACTTTCCATGAATGCGTCCTCGTGAAAACCTGCGGCGATGGCGAGTTGTGCCGCAAAAGAAATGAGGCGCCAGGCAAGCCAGGGCTTAGCAAGTTCGATGGCGTGAGAGGCCTATGATTGTCAGCAGTGCGGCGGAGATGATCAAAGGAGGGTATGCTTACACCTAGTACAAGTGCCTGGACGCTTTTGATGTGAGCAGGCAAGCAAACGGTCAAGCTCCCGACTGCTTGCATCATGGCATCTCTGCACAACCTGCCCCATACGAAGTACCGTTTGCGGAGATCTTCGTTGTTAGTGGGGCAAAAGTGCTCGGTGAACAAGTAATATAGTCCCGAGTTGGCTATAATGAAGTCTGTGTCGGCATACTCATCAATTGAGAAGTAGACATCACGGCACAGTTCGATGTACGCCGGTACGGGCATAAGAGACCGCAGTATAGGAAAGCTACTAGGCGGAGACTCTGTTGGTAGTTGTGATCTCGTCAGGTATGCAATCCAGGATATTGCCATAGAAGTACGGTACCTTTCAACATCTTGAGAATGTTGATCACAGCAGCCGTGGGTGGCAGCGGCAATTCGCGGTATGATTGAGTACCAGAGCGAGGGTTGTTAGCGTGCACCTGGGGTTGCGATGGAATGACTAGGTCGCTGCATCTGGGTGCAGGGGGTGTCGATAAGCTACGATCTCCAGCAGACTCCGCATATCTTCTAGCCACCTCAACTTGACTCCGAAAAGACGAAGAACCTTTAACAGCTGACTGTGTGTCTAGATCCTCGAGTACAGCGATGCTAGACTCTCCAGGTATACTCACTTGCGTGTCCGTTGAGCGACAGTCACACGGGCGGTGTCGAAGCAACGCCTCGATGTTTCCGAGTCTTTTCTCTATGAGATCGATTTTCTGTTCACCAGCAAGATGTCAATGAAACGCTCATGACAGCATGCTGTGTTGAGATGGGAACTCTCTGTCTCGGAACCTTCGGCCTCTGTCCAACACCTGAAAAGCTGCAATCTTGGGATGAGGACCTGCAGTTCGAGCATGGGAAGACTTTGTCGCAGCGGACCTGAAAATTGTTTCAGCGGACTCTCGCACTACGGAGCGTGGAAGATCTCGCCGGAGCTTCGTATTACCTTGCGCAGCCGACACAAGTCGCACTAAGGAGCTAACCGTTAATGACACGTTCTGCTGCAGGTGGGGTCAGGTCTCAGAACTCCGACTTACAGCTGTTATGCGGGAAGAATCCATCGAAGATCCAATTGTTTCACAGACGCCGTTGTTAGTTGGTGAAGATGAAAGATTTGGTTACTCGGAGCCCTCGGTCGTCCTAGGCGATGTTCGAAAAATCGGACGCCGGGAGCCATTTATATCGGCCGCCGAGGGGACCGAGCAGGGGCCACCGCAAAAGTCCGTCTCCGTCCCTGTCAACAGGCAAAATACCGAAACATCACGGACTACTCCGTCAGCCGGGGCTCGGAGTGGACCCGGAGTTAAGCATATTTCTCAGTCTAACAAGTTGTTTTGTGGTTGCAAACCTTGTACATTCGTTTTGTTGACGAACAGCGGATGAGATGCTTTGAAACAGCTTTGGCCACTTAAACGCACTAATTACCATGTATAAAGTCTAATGAGCGCAACGACATGGCCCGACGCAACATGTTCTACCATCGTGGGAAAGCCGCAGTACCATCTACAAATTATTGTTTTCTGCCCGTTATACAAATTCAGTTGAAGTATTTCATCCTTTTCTATAACACGAATCTTTGCGCCCAAAATGGTCTCTTCCAACATTATTGACCTGCCTCAAACGGCTCTCCCCATTGGGAGCTTGGTCGTAGTGTCTGGCGCTAGCGGTTGCATGGGCAGCCACATCTGCGATCAACTTCTCAGTCTAGGTTTTAGAGTCAGAGGCATTTCACGGAATGTGAAAAAGTCTGGATGGATCGAGACTATGTTCACGAAGACGTATGGCCCCGGCAAGTTCGAGCTCATCGAAGTTCCTGACTTCAGTACCCCGGGGGCTTTCAACGCCGCTGTTAAAGGTAAGTGTATCCGTAGCCCTTCAAAACTAGACAATACGGCTAAAGCCTCCACCTTCAGGTGCCCATGGAGTTATTCATACGGCAGCCGACACAAGCCTTGACTTGAACCCTGACAACGTCGTTTCCCCCATGGTATCCGCCGCCATCAGCATAGCTGAGGCGGCAGCTTCTACACCTTCTTGCAGCAGGCTTGTTTACACTTCATCTTCGAGTGCAGTGGCTGATCCCGCCCCTGGCATCGTTCGAAGAATCACCAATGAGACATATAATGAAGAAACGGTTATCGCTGCCTACTCGCCCGATCTCCGCCAAGATCTTGTTGGGGGTCATACTGTCTATGCTGCTGGCAAGGTCAAAACAGAGCAAGCGTTGTGGAAGTGGTATCACTCGAGAGCTCCTAACTTGGTTATGAACACAGGTGTGAACTTCGACCATGGCAGAGGCATCCACTCTCCCATGCTAACTTGTTTCCAGTCATCTCAAGCCCTTGCTATGGCGAAGTTCTTTATCCTAAAGCCCAGGGTTTTACTGCTGCAATGGGGGTGTTAAAGATGCTCTGGGACGGAAATGGCTCCGAGGAGATTGTCAAGATGTTTGAGTCCCGTAAGTGATGTCACAGAATTCCCGATTTCCCCGATCTCCACTGACAGTGGATCAGAATGGTTCTGCGATGTGAAGGACGTGGCCAGCCTTCACTTCGGAGCCTTACTGCTACCGCAAGTCAAGTCTGAGAGGCTGTTTGCGTACGCTGGGAGATACACGGTCAACGATTTCTTGCGGATTTTCAAGACCGCCTATCCTTCGCGGGAGTTTCCGGGGGAGGTGGAGGACATACTTGAAGATGCGACAGAGGTTCCAAATGAGAAGTCAACTGAAGTGCTGAAGCTGTTGGGTCTCAAGGGTTGGAAAAGCCTGGAGGAGTGTCTTGAGCCTGTGACTGAGCAGTTTCTTGCCGCATCTCGTTGATGGAATTGGCTTCTGAGTTTGCTCATTACTTGGTAAATATCAGCTTCCTCGAGTTTGGGGGTTTTTCTTTTCTGAGGCCGAAGTCAAACCTCTCAGCAAGAGAAGAGGGTGTCTAAAGTGAGCAGAATGCTTGGCGCCGAGAACCCCAGTCCAAGCTCTTCAATTTTGCATTTTGGATATCGTCGTAGTCGCATGTGCTGAAAAGCTCTCCGCGTTGATCTTCAACTGCTCACCGAAACATAAGTGTCATGCCTTTCTTACATGTAGTAGCACAATGCTGGCAGCCAGATCATGTAGCCAGATCATGTCCGACAACGTACAACTACCACAGTCGCAAGCGGCGAACAGTCCATCGGCCATGCCGTGCCGAGGAAATGTCGCGTTCTCTCGTGTGCTGATGGTTCCAACAACTCACGTAAAATAATCCTAGATAGCTTGGGACTGACATCACCC